AAGAAAGGTGTAGCTTTTGGTTAACACCATGTGTACACTGCTTCCCAAACCAGCAGTGGGAGCTCACAGAATGAAGAGTAAACAAGAGTGTATACACAGCCACAAACTGCCATCTCCCAGCCCGGCTAACTGACTGCCTAAATAACTGGCTGCTTGGTCATCATTTTTCACCTTTAGTTTGTGTCCACACTGGTGCAAATCAACAGATTAGCTCAGGCTTCCTCAAACTCGGCCCTCCAGATGTTTTGAGACTACAATTCCCATCATCCCTGACCACTGGTCCTGCTAGCTAGGGATCATGGGAGTTGTAGGCCAAAAAACATCTGGAGGGCCGAGTTTGAGGAAGCCTGGATTAGCTGGATATCAATTGTGTACTGTTGTGGTGCAAACCAGTTCTTCAGTCTGCACAGCAGAAAGAAGAAAAAAGAAAATTGTTCAATAACCAATGTTCTAGCATCTAAAGCTTAAAGGAGAGTTACTGGCATGGGCTCATCTTGCAATATGCTGCTCCCAATTCTAAAAGTAATTTTGTACCTCGGCTCCTCGGCCCACCATCCACTATGTTCACACTGCCACTCCTGAAAGTACAGAGACAGCTTATGTTTATGTAAAGGTGGACTGGGAAGAGTTTGCATGCACAGGCAGAGTGACGCAGCTGCCCCAGGTAGGAGATGCTCACAGGTGAGGAGCAGACAGAGCTGTGTGTGTCACACATTTGGTCTTGCACCCGCTAAGGTAGCCTGCTGTCAGCTGGGTCAACTTTTTAATCTGGAGTTGTTTCTTTACAGTATTGGTAGGGCCTGCATTGTAGCACTCTAATTTCCTGAATGAAATATTGTATTCTCTTTGTATTGGCTTTGGAATCCCCAATCGTCCCTTGAATCATATCTTACCTTCACTGCAGATTCCCCAGGCGTCCCTCCAAGTGCCAACGCTCATAATCTCTTCAGGGGATTCAGCTTCGTTGCATCCAACTTGGTGCAGGAGCCTCCACAGCAAGAAGTCCACAAAATCACAGTTCACCCCATTGTCCAGGTAAGGATGCATCTGGTAAAAGTGTGTGTATGTGTGTATGGTCACTGGAGGCTGATGGCAATCTGCCATATTTACAAATTTCCAGGGTGAACACAGTTGCCCCTTACGAATGTTAGACACAAGCCCAAAGCACAGTATTTTGCACAGGCTGGACATTAGTGTTAGGCCTATTCCTTAGTATTGTATACATTTTCCTAATTGTGATAGTCCTATTGACAGAAATCATGATGCAAGTTGAAATCATAATGTGATACTTAAATGCAATCTCAAGAAGCTTGCAGTACTCTATTAGGTTTTCTTTTTAGTCACTGGGACCCAGACTTCTACCTGAAATGCTGTGGTGCTTGCCTGCCTACAGTTTGATGTTTTTGCATGTATGCAATATATAATGCCACTTTCATTAGCCAAATTTGGTAGAATTATTAAACACCAGAAAAATGGCAGGCAATGTTTATATGGAAGGAGAACTTGCATATTGCAAGGACCCCTGAGAAGCTCAGTGCTTCTCTTTCATGTTCTGCACAGAGACCTATTGGATGCCCCTGCAGGCAAGCCTCTCAGCATCAAGAATGACAAGTAGGCAGAGCAGCAGTGTCTTCAAATGTTTTGTGCCATAGGATTAAAGGGCAGCAATTCACTTATATGAGAGAGAGAAAGAAAGAAAGAAAGAGATTTCAAGGGAGCTTTGGGGAAAGAACAAACTGGTTTCCTCCAGCCATTAAAAATTAAGCCCACTCCTATATACTCCAATATACAGCTCTCAAAAAGCCCCCTGTTATACTTCAAACCACAATAAACAGATAAACCCATAACTAGAAAAAAGTTTAAAAGCATTGAAAACCTGGCAGAACAAAAATGTCTTCCTTGCTTCCCTAAAGGACAAGAGGGAAGGGGCTAGTCTAATCTCTCTTGTGAGGGAGTTCCACAATTAAGGCACTACCACCAAAAAGTCCCAAACCAATTGCACCTGCTTTGGGAGAGGATCACAGTGCAGAGCCACCAACAATGTTTGCAGCTGATGGTTAGATTCATGCAGGAGGGTCAATGCTCCAAATGTCTTCAGAGCCCTGCCCTGGGTTCTGTTTCTTAGATGTACAGTGGTACCTCGGGTTAAGAACTTAATTCGTTCCAGAGGTCCGTTCTTAACCTGAAACAGTTCTTAACCTGAGGCGCGCTTTCGCTAATGGGGCCTCCTGCTGGTGTGTGATTTCCGTTCTTATCCTGGGACAAATTCTTAACCTGGAGCAACCACTTTGTAACCCAAAGTGTCTGTAACCTGAAGCGTCTGTAACTCGAGGTACCACTGTAATTGAAAGGGAGGTAATTTCTCTAGGTAATAGTAGCTGCTATAGTTCCAGGTGGCTAATATAGGAAACTAGAACTCTTCCAGGCATGCATTATTATATGCGCGTGTTTTAATTCCTTAATCTGGTAATGAGATGCTTGTATTAAAACACCCAGAGAGCAATGTATTATTTTTTTTTAATGACACTGATGTATATTTTTTTTTAATGTTATAGCATCATTTACAGCCTAATCCCATTTATGTTTGCTTAGAACAGAGAGGAGAAACTCATTGCTCTCCCAAGGTTGGTCTCCAGCTCTCATCAGCCCCTCATGGTCAATGGTCAAGGATGATGGAAGTTGAAATCCAACATTGGGAGGATCCAGAGTTCCTCATCCCTAACTTAGAAGAAAGTCCCACTGAGAATTCAGCTCAGTGGGATTAATTTCAAGTGTGTGTGCAAAGGGTCATAGTTTTAACTGGACTGGCATAAATTAAGACCTGAGTTCTGCTGAGGCTATGTGAGGAACAATTGTCTTTTAGTTTTCAGCTCTGTTTGGTCTTCTGCTGGATACTGCCATAAGACCTGCCTTCTTATGCTATCGTTTTGTTTTCCTCTATAGCAGTTACATGGGAACAATATTCACTTTACAGATGGTTATGAAATCAAGGAGGACATTGGTGTTGGCTCTTATTCAGTATGCAAGAGGTGTGTACACAAATCCACAGAAGCAGAGTTTGCCGTGAAGGTAAGACATCACCTTGTCATGCTGTCATCTACAGAATTTTAATGGTTTGAGGCAAGAAGAAGAAATTTATTATAAACAATTGATCATATACACATTTGGAGCTTGAACACTCATTCTCAGGGAAGCTTTATCCATTCACTGTTAGCAGAATCATTTGCAAAGCAGCAGTGATGTAACAACCAGCAAATAATATTACATCTTCAAACATGTACATACTGGGTTTTCAGTTCCTGTATGTCTTTGTATTTCTTGTGCTCGTGAATTTGTATCTTTTTTCTTTTCTTTACTTGTAGCTGAGTCTTCTCCTTCTACTACTGCTATATTTTGTTGATTCAGAAACTTGCTTAGCACTGAAAGCCTCAGTTGAAATATATCATGGAAAGCCACAACTAATTTGCATGTGCATGCATCTAAGGCTGTTTGCATATTGTTTTCCCCACATATTTTATTTGGTATTATTCAGTAGTATTTAATGGACCACCTGCCGTGGTAAAAAGCTGCCAAGGTCTTTAACTTTAAGCACAGAGATGCTGCTTATCAGGCTTTTCCTCACAGTGGAATTGCTCTCTATCCCCTTGATCATTTTGGTCCCCCAGTTCTGACTTTTCCAACTCTATAATATCCTTTTTGAGGTGAGGTGACCAGAACGGCACACAGTATTCCAAAAGTGGTCTCACCATAGATTTGTATAATGGCATTATGATATATTGCACTATCTGGGATCCAAGTTTATCATAAGAGTTAATTCAGCCCAACTGATAGATGCTTTGTGAATTGCTTAATTAAAGGGCTTAATGTTCAAATGCCCAGAGTGCTAATAGCAGTACAATTGAAGGCTTGTGTTATGAATGCTGAGTCAATGAATAGTGGAAGTGACTGAACCAATAGTGCCTGCAGATATTGTGGCACACTCTGTACTAATGGCCATGCTGCTCAAAGTGTGTGTGTGTGTTTCTCCTTTATCTCTTTCCAAAATAGTGATTATTCCAATGTTATGGAAAAGTTAATCATAGCACGAATGAATTGCTGAAGCTAATCAAGCTTAACTGTGCAAAAAAAGAAAAGAACCCCTAGAAATAGTTAAAATCATAATACCTCTCATCTGAGGGGGGAAATAGAATTATGTCATGTTCTTTTAAAATAATGCTAGCAATACCGTAGTAATTTTCTTACAACAGTGGTAATTTGGCATCAGGAAAAAAAACAAAAGCAAATTAAAAACACACAAAGACTTATTTTTAGGAGAGGTATTTAAATTGAACCCCATGTATTTCATAGCAACAAAGACCTCCAGTATTTTTACTCAGTATTAATATTACAGATTAATTAATTTTAGACAAAACTGCCACTTTAAAATTCCTGCATTGTATGGCTGTTAATGCTCTTCCCACTCTTGGACTTTATATTTATATGACACATAGTTAGTGGATCTACTCTTTCTTACAGAGTGACTTGAATATGAAATGACGCACAAAATTTACAAATGAATTCTTTATACCCCCCCCCCAAAATGCATTTCACTGTGGATAGTACCTTGCATCACACACATATGCCCTACCAATACAGGGCTGGATCCAAAAGGACCTTGTCACAATCTAGGCACTTCTACTCCTACAACAGACTCCACCATAATTTCTCCTCTCCATTTGCAGCCCCAGTACCCTATCCCACACCAATTGGGTGGAGGGTGGGGTATATAGTGGGGAAATCTTGCTTCAGGAGTGGAGTTCAGTTTGTGGTTTATTGGAAGCAAACCATTGTATCCTAACACATGTACCAAATAGAATAGTTTAAGCAACGTAACCTGCCACTTTCTCTATGTTTCACCTGTACAATTGACATCTATTTGTTGTTAGTAGCTACGAAGATTTCCTCCCCCCTTTACGATTTGCTGTTTTTAGTTATTCTGCTTAACCAATGAGTTGATGCATCTCAATGAGTCCGTGGCAGCATTGTAACCAATGAGGCTAATCCGAGGCTCAGTTATTGCTAATTGAAATTTTAGTGTGCTGATGCACTGTATGTCTCTATTTCTTTGAAGCTCTTCTTTTGAGTAAACACACAAAGGAGTCTTATGAATGTTAGCTACACCTTCACTTGAATACAACACCTAATTACCATTGAATCCTTTTCTTCTAGATCATTGATAAAAGCAAAAGGGACCCCTCTGAAGAAATTGAGATTCTTCTGAGATATGGACAGCACCCAAACATCATCACTCTTAAAGATGTAAGTGGTCTCTCAAGTCACCAAACTGATCCACAGAAAAATATGAACAGTTGGTTGTAGACAGTGGTGTGAAGCCAATTCCAGCTACATTTTGTGCATATATGACTCAGTGGAGATTTGAGTTTGGTTAAATGTATTCATGTTACTTGTAGGAAAATAACTTTTTTTTTACTGGTGACTCAGTTACACTAGATTCCAGGGGAGAGGCCATAAAGTAAAGGTTTAAATAAATAAAATCAGGAACTCTGAGATGCAAGGATTTTGATGTTCACATGGAGCTTCTAGGTGGTTTGAAAATAACCAAACCACAACGGTCAAACTAGACAATCAGCAATGTGTTGTCGAGATTTCTGACTGCACTTAGTTACTACTATCTTGCAAACATCAACACGGTAGGTTCCTGAGGAGTCTAAAGAAGAAACAAGTGGCTTCTTCACCAATGTGCAATAGGGAGAAGTAGAATGGGCTATGTGCTTTGGAGGCTACTTCTGCTACTGTTTCCCACCAAGTTATTCACGTATATTTATATCACCAAACGATAGAGGGGATATGCAGCATCTTTCCAGCAAGCAGGAAGGAGCAGGGCAACCATTCTATATGACTATACAACCATCAATCAGGTAGAGCCTAGAACTGGGCACTAGTTCTCTCTTTAAATTATCCACCCAACATATTGCCATTGGGAGTATGTATTGTGATTATTATAGAAGGGATTGGCTTATTTACTCCCTTTTGTAAAAAAACGGTTTTCCTCCATCTTTTTTCCCCCAGAGGCTAATGTGCTTTAAGGGACACGGGTGGCTCTGTGGGTTAAACCACAGAGCCTAGGGCTTGCCAATCAGAAGGTCGGCAGTTCGAATCCCCTCAATGGGGTGAGCTCCCATTGCTCGGTCCCTGCTCCTGCCAACCTAGCAGTTCGAAAGCATGCAGTGCAAGTACATAAATAGGTACCGCTCCGACGGAAAGGTAAACGGCGTTTCTGTGCGCTGCTCTGGTTCGCCAGAAGCAGCTTAGTCATGCTGGCCACATGACCTGGAAGCTGTATGCCAGCTCCCTCGGCCAGTAAAGCGAGATGAGCACTGCAACCCCAGAGTCGTCCACGACTGGACCTTATGGTCAGGGGTCCCTTTACCTTTACCTTTAATGTGCTTTATAGTGTTGCTGTTTTCTCCTGTTACAATCAGCACTTTAATTCTATTTTTTCACTATGGATTTATGCACGTTATGATGATTATTTATTTATTTAAAAATGCTGCCATTGGGAGGTTGGGTTTTAGGAGGACCCTCTCTAAACAGCACCGTCAAGCATCAAGTGAAAGAGGAATCTCCTCCATCTACTGTTTCCTATTCAGCTACTTCAGCTTCCATTATCTTCTGGTAAAACCTTGTGCTGGAACATTAAGACAGTGCCCACATTACATTTACATCCTTAGGAAGGAAGGGCAATAAATGAAATAAATAAATAAATGGATGGATGGAGAATTTTGAATCACACACCTGATTGCTTCTCTGCACGTATAGGTCTATGATGATGGGAAATATGTATACCTTGTGATGGAGCTGATGCGAGGAGGAGAACTCTTAGATCGAATACTTCGGCAGAAGTGCTTCTCAGAACGAGAGGCCAGTGCTGTCCTTTGTACCATTACCAAGACAGTCAACTATTTGCATTCCCAGGGAGTAAGTACAATTTCTTCTGCTTTCTAAAAATGTTATCTTTATTTTATTTCTTATTTGGGCATTACCCAAAATGTGCATAAACTTGTAAGTTACTAATTTACTATTGAAGAACACGCCTGTATAATAAGGAATGCCATATCAAAGATATCACACTTGGATAGTATCTTCCATACCAAAGAGCTAATCCTTATTACTTTCCTTAAACCCAAAGGGTATAATAGACTTTATCATAAACATTTATATCTGGACTTGCCTCACTATTTTATATGGGGGTGAGGGCATATATTTAACCCTATGGGAAGAGGAGGCAGACAACATAGCCAATCTGAAATCAAATGGCCCTGTGCGTGTTCTGGGTGAATACTAATTTAGTGAATACTATTTAGTGAAAAAGTGTAACATTTCAGAAGACCAGAGGTAAATAGAAAAGAATTATCAAATTTATTTGGTTTATGACTAAAATGCAACTCTATGTACATTATCATTTGGTAAATGTCAGCATTAGCAAGGCATGACACCAAATGCCGAAACAAACTTCAAATGGTAAATCTTGAGAATTTCCAGCGGCCAACACAAGCCAAATTTGACAACAGCTTGTTGCAACATTGCATCATTGCAACAGCTACTTCACTTTATATAACAGTTTTACCTTTCTTTGCAGGTTGTTCACCGAGATCTGAAACCTAGTAATATTCTTTACATGGATGAGTCAGGTAACCCCGACTCCATCAGGATCTGTGATTTTGGATTTGCCAAACAACTGAGAGCTGAGAATGGCCTGTTAATGACACCATGTTATACAGCCAATTTTGTAGCACCTGAGGTACATAGCAGAGCGATCCCTGTTCCAGCAACTGTAACATCATATCCCATATTTACATCATGGTTGGAGAGGCAAAACAGCTTTAGATTGGCCTCTCAGTTGCTTTTGATACTATAGTCCATGCCATTTTCCTTGAGCATCATATTTTCTGATGGCTTTATTGCTTTTTGCCTGATTTGTCTCAGAAGGTGACATGTGAAAAGGCAAGCTCAAACCCATGGGAGTCTGCATGTGGCATTCCACAGGACTCAGGGCTCTTGCCTTGCAAACATGCAAACCAGGATGTGGTGGGGAGTGGTGTAAATCGGCTGGATGAAGGTTCAGGGTGCAAAAAACGGTTAGAGAAAGAGTTAGACCCCTTTTCCCCTTTTGCTCTTTGTAAGAAATGCCACAGCAGTTTTGGCAAGCAGCTTTTGAAACATTTTCTTCTTTAATATCCTGAAGTTCACCTCCAACTTCGCTCTGATCCCAGACTCCCTTGCCACTGAAACATTTGTCCAATTAAATTGAATGTTAGGAAAGCAGCCAGAGGGAATGGCAAAGGCGAAATAACATGTCTGCTTACATTAGTCTTCTCTGTTTTACTTGGAACCCATTGATTTTCTTTTAGCAGACGGCAATGTAATAATTACAGCATGAACTATCGTGGATTGTTAAGGATGTCTGAGAGGAGGAATTGGCCTGCCATCTAGTGGGAACAAATGCAGGAAAACAAACCATGAATCACAAAGGCTGTTAATCTCATGTCAGTGTGTAAATTATTTTATTCTCCAGTTTTCATCCAAGCCTAGGTGGGCTTTATCTGTGGTCTTATAGACTGCTGGGGAAGACATTACAGATCTAGTGCCAGGTAGCATTCACCATACTTTTTAGGTTTTTGCCCAGCATAGGGAGAATTTTGTGTGTAATAATCAAACATGCAGCTGTGCTGTATTTTCAGTCTCAAAGTCTCATTTGATAATAACCATTCTAGCTTACATGATTAAGACTCCCACGGGCAGTTTCATGCTATCAGTATATAATAAAAGCCAAAACCATACTATTGCTTTGTTTCAAAATCCATAGTGACTTTACATGTTGTCATAGCAATTTATTTCTGAAACATTAAAGGCATTTCTGATCAATGAAACTAATTCTTGAAAAACAGTATTTCATCATCAACTGTTAAAAGTAATTGTCTGCATAATGTTATAGTTGGTTACATGTTGAAAACTTGATTTGTTTGGAACAAATATGGGAATGAACAACTGCGTCTGTGGCACAAGACACACACATTCATCATGTGTGACAGTTAGGGATGGAAGGATCTGTCAGTTTTCGTTCTCTCAGTTTCTCATTTTTCCAATAATAAATTCAATTTCCCACATTACTTCAGCAACTTACAATTTATTTTTATTCTTTTAAAAACAAACCTCATGAAAATTATTCAGCAAATTTCTCTTAATAACTCCATGTTTGTTTGCAGTTTTGACTAATGTACACGTATTTGCAAACAATTTCACCTAATAGAATGCATTTTTAATGTTATTTGAATGCTATTTTTTCTAGTCTATCCACTTTTATTCTCACTTCTCCCTAACATATGCATTTTGTAAGCGCTCAGTTGGATCACTGCATCACAAAATTCAAATAAGTGTGAATTTGGAAGGATGACTGTATTTCAGTTCTCATGTTGCTTTGGAAAGTGTGAATTTAATAAATTCAGCTTTAAATGTGAACTGAATTGAACTTCTCAATGAAGCCTCATGACAGTGCACACATACATAACATATATGCTTATTTTGTATGGTAGCGATAACAGTTCTGTAAGAATAAAGCCATGTGTGAAACAGATTTAAATAAGCTTCTGGGAAGATGCCATGCTCTAAATGCTATGGATCCTTTGTTTATGATCAACTGATCAAAATTTGGTGTTGCAAGGGACAAATCTATTCTCTGAATAGTGGTCTAGAAGTGGGGCAGGTTTTGTTTGTTTGTTTTGCACAAATCAACCACCCAATGGCACCATCAAACACTAAGGCCCAAGTGATAAAATAAAAAGAAGCATGTAGCCTTAAATTGTGCAATTGCTCTATCACTTTTGAAAACCTAATTCTTATTCCTATGGGCAAAAGTATCCATTCATTGAACCATTCATTGAATATACTGCTGCAGTCTTCAGGGCTGCATTCTTTAGGTGGAGACCCTAGTTCTCTGCTATGAGTTTTCTCTCTCCTTTGCATCAGTTTTCTCTCTCCTTTGCATCAGTTTTCTCTCTCCTTTGGTATATTTTCTGCCTTTTGAGGATGCAGGAGTCAAGAATACATAGTGAAAAAACCCAGACTGTGTAATGAAATACAGTCGTACCTCTTTCTGTTCTGGAAGTCCGT